AAAATGTTGTCCTACTTATAAGAAATGCTATCTTAGGTATAAAGTAAGCTCAGACTTGCTTGCTTGCTTATTTATTTAATATAAAGCCAATAAAATATCACTGCCAAATCTTCCATCCTCAACAACACAACTACAGAGAAAACCTCACACCAATTTAAAAAAAGCTCAAAAAAGTAAATATAGTTGTATGGGTTTGTTTCAGATTCTCCAAATATTTTTCAGAAAAAGACTGGATAGGTGACTCAGAATTTCTCTAAGGGAGAAGTACTCAGTTTCTTAAAGGCAAGAGTGCACTTTAGCAGGAACTGTGATATTCCTACTTTAGAGCTACAGTTTTGTTTTTTTTATTGAAATATTTTGGGGGAAAAAACTTTTGCAAATATTTATCTCCCCTCCCCCACCCTCCCCACCCAACCCCCCCACCTACACACACCCCCCCCTGACTTCCCAGAACCAATACAAGGTATAAGTCTTTAACAAAAACAGTTCAAAATATACTTAAAGAAAAAGTAGAAAATTAATAACGTCTTCTAGTCTAACCCCCTGTGCTTGAGCAGTAGACCCTATACCATTTCAGGCAAGGGGCTGTCTAAAAGTAAAGATTTTCCTCACATATATGTGCTACTCATTCCTGACTCTAGGGGGAACAGCGCATCTCTGTTTCAAAGCTGAAGAGCCAGCGCTGGCCGAAGACGTCTCCGTGGTCATGGGGCTGGCATGACTAAAGGCCAAAGGTGCATAGAACGCTGCTACCTTCCCACCAAAGGTGGTCTCTCTTTTTTCTACTTGCATTTTTAGGTATTTCAAACTGCTAGTTTGGCAGAAACGGGGACAAGTAATGGGAGCTCACTCCGTTACGTGGCACTAGGGATTCGAACCGCCAAAATGCCAACCTATCTGATCGACAAGCTCAGCGTCTTAACCAACTGAGCCACTGCATCCACTAAGTGGCTGTTTAGTCTCTTTTCTTAAAAGACCCAAGTGATGAAGTTCCCACAACTTCTCAAGGCAAGCTATCCCACTGGTTGATTGTCTTCACTGTTAGGAAATGTCTCCTTATTTCGAGGTTGCTTCTCTCCTTGATTAGCTTCCATCCATTGCTTCTCCTCTTGCCTTTTGGTGTTTTGGAAATTAGGTCGAGCCCCTTTCTCTTTGTGTAGCCCCTCAACAGTGGTGGGATTCAAATAATTTAACAACTGGTTCTCTGCACTAATGACCAGCTGAGTAGGCGTGGACCAGCGGTTATGTGACTGGATGGGCGTGGCCAACTCAAAGAGGCTGGTTGCCCACCAGGAGGTGCCTGAGGCATGGAGCAGCGGTGAAGATCAAAGGGAGTTTGTCCCTGACGTCAGGCACTGGAGCAGTGGTGAAGAGCAAAGGGAGTTTGTCCCTGACCCCAGACAGAGAAGGGTGGAGAAATGAAGGCAGCAATTACGGAGACAGACTCATAAGAGATAAGCAAGCCCAGGTGGTTGTAGTTTGGCTCCTCCCAAGAGAGTATATAAGAAGAGACTTTGGGAGGAGACCTTTTGCAGGACACAACCGTTTATACCAAGCTGTAGAAAATCTTGTGTGTAATGTATCTCTTATCTGTGGGAGTCTGGGTTTCTGCCAACATCTTGTGTGTGAGTAATTACTGTGAATAAAGTGTGGCTAACAGTAAGCTTGTGTCGGCGTTACTCACCGGATGGAGGGAGGGGGTCAGAACAGGGACCCAAATCAAAAACATTAGATTATTTCATTCAACCCCTTCCTTCTTTTTTTCCTGCACCTCATCAGAATTGACCTGAAAACAGAAGCATTCAAAGAACTAGAAACAAAATTGTATTCAGAATGTATTTAAGAATCCAGCTTTAGATTCAGGAGCTGCACGAACAAGGCTGTTCTTTTGTGTGTTAGAGACATTTGTCACCACAATCGTGGTAACAGCTGCAAGATTAAATAGGTTTGGAAACCATTTAAACATGTTTTCCCGATAAAGCTAGCAAAACAGCTTCCATATTAGATTAGAGACCAGGTACCTCTGGATGTTGAATGCGAAGGATAACATCTCTATGACAGCTATATCTTTTGCAGGTGTCTTCCGTTCAACATCCCTTACCACGATTGAAAACCAAATGAATTATTCTGTAGAGGTGGGTCTGATTCAGCAAACATGCTAGTATTCTTAAAATAGCTTTTATATTTATA